TGTCATGTACGCTTCAAACGAAATATGTCTGCAGCTATACATGTCTTGACTTTGGTATTTTGGCGGTCGCCATCTTGGATTTTTTAAGTCCAAATAAAAACATATTTGGACAAGAGGGTGGAGATAACCCTAACCCTATCTACTAGCATGGTTAGTACGTCTCATTTACAGCAAACTATGTAAATGCTAATTTTTGCTAGCAAAACCATCAAACAAAATACACTTACTTGGAAAACTCAACATACAGCTCTGTAGAGGGTCTTTTAGCTCAACCAAATGTTGAACAAAACGTTTTTGGATGACCAAATCAAACTTTAATGAAATGAAAACACATGAAATAGCGACAGCCACGGCTCACCTATACTCTGTTAACCCCGTATTCCCTCACCCCCTGTCCTCTCTCCCTGAATTTACACATTGATTGATGTACTAAACAATCGCACATTTGTCTGTCATTATCTGAAGTGTTAAATTTGAAATAGTCAACGCTACCAACTGCATTTTGCTCAGGAATACTATAAAAGTCTGTTGACGTCCATATAAAACAGTATTTGAGAATATTTTGAACTGTGTAACTGTTCAGTAAATCATTCCTGTAGTCATTTGTTGTAATTTCTATTCAGTTACATAATGACTCTCATCTAATTCTGACCTTGACCCGCGGCCAGAAAAATCATTGCAACAGACGTCTGCTGTAAGAAAAATGGATCTTTTTTTCCTGTCAGTGTCACAGATTTAAGTCCTCTGTCTTTTCTGTTTTTCTTTTCACACTGGGTGTAGTGTCGTAGGTTTCAGAAAGAAGGGCAGAATTGAATAAGATAAGGATGGGAAGGACAGGATAGAGCCTCAGGAAATTTCAGTATCTCACTCATTCGATCACACCATGTTGTCTAAAACCACTTGTGCTCGAATTAGCTTTGGCAGCAAACCATGTCTGCCTGGGGACGGACAGAAATGTGTGTGTGCAGCCCAGTGTGTATTATGGGGTCGCTGCGATAAGACCTAAGCGTCAGACACAGAGTGTATGTAGTGGAGAGAAATAGCCGTCATCCTCTTTGTCCTTCGAACACGGTACATATATTACAGCTTTTTCTTGTGCGAGCACCCTGTGTGACTCAGTCTTAATCCCCCAACAGACAGGAGGATGAAAGGAAGCAGACGTTGGGGTGGGGGTGTGCTTTAGAGTAATGGAGAGAGGAAGAGACATACAAACAGCATGTGCAGCGATAAGAAAGAGAAGGATATAAGATTGAAATGAGCTATAGAAGGAGGCAGAGATGGTGACTTGGCAGTACGTCTTAGGGTGCTTTCACACGTGCCCTGTTTGGTTCAGTTCAATCGAACTCTTTGTTTGGGCAGGTGTGAACACAGCAATCACACACAAAACAACCAGACCGAGACCTTCTTGAAGAGGTGGTCTCGGTCTGGTTACAAACGAACTCTGGTGTGGTTGGTTTGTGGTGAGAAGGTGTTCCGACCTGGATGTGAAGCAACTGCAGTCACATGACACATTGTTTGGGTTAAACATGAGCATGTTACAGTCCTGGAGGATTATTAATGTGCACCTCCTCCTGTACTGCCTTAATATGCACATTCAGCACATCCAATGCATCAAAACATTGTTTTCTAGTTGGAGCCGCGCCTCGTTTTCAAACTGTATGTTTTGACTAAAATGAACAATGACAGCAATATAGTCCACGATGAGCAGCGCTAAAATCAACCTGCGTAGTTGTCCCTCCATTGTGACATTAGAAAGTGTCACATTTATCTTGCAAGTGTACTCTTCTTCAACGTTTGCTTTACTTCCTGGATTTTTCCCACATGGAAATTCTGACCAATCAAGAGCAGCTTTCTCACACAAGGCATTTGATCTGGTCCTCTTGTAAATGCTGTCGTGAGAACACGAACCAACTCTAGGCAATTATACAACTTTGGAACAACATGAGTCCCTGATTCAGACCAAAGGAGACCACTCTAGGTCTGAAAGCACCCTTAATGACTTGTTATGAGGTTGTCAGTAGTGAGGAAACAGGAGCTTAAAAAAACAGAGGTTGGACGGACACAGGAAATTGTTGTTTGCATGATCCTAAACCGATCTAAAACAAGAACCAAAATAGCCGGCCTGTTCTCACTCCAAAGTCGTCAGATACCACTGCTTTGTCATTGATTTCAACCTCAGCTACTGATGCACCAAACATTTTCTAACATGTCCAAAGAGAATGTGTTAATGTCCCGTCTGCCTCTTTACACCTACTACAGAGCAGGTAAACATAATCTAATGCAATCTGTCCTTGGAGTGGGATAGCTGATGCAGTTATTATGGTTTATTGACTTACATAACCTTTTAGTGTAGGCTGTACAGGTTTTAGGGATACAAGCATTTAAAGATACTCAAAGAAATGATGTCACAATAAGCAAAAATACCAATGTATAGGCACTATAGACTGTTTCCACTGCAGAGTTTAAAGGGTTAAACACAAAAAACACACACTGAAACTTAGAAAATTTGCTTCCTGAACTATTTCTCAACATGTAGGCCTACACAGTTTACAGTTAAACAGCTTAAACGTTGAATTGTGATTTGTTTTTTGCAGTGTTGTGCAATATCCCTTTTAATCCGTGTACGTGTCTTATTAGAGAGGAGCAGAATTTTTCATGCTCCAGAAACCACAAAGCTAATGTCAGCAGTAATTGGAGTTTTTCCTCAAAGTATAACAAAGACTGAGCAGTGCGATGAATACCTGTCAGATAGCAACAAGGTGCCGAGCGTGACCTTTCCGATTAGTTTAGATCCGTGCGTCTACTCTGTGAAGCTTGACAGAATCTCACGGCTGCACCATAAAGAGGGCGCAGAGATGAAGTCTTTCAGATTCCAGTGTGGGCTTTTCAAGGTCGTCATGACTTGTAATTTGCTCTCAAGGCTGGTTGCAGACGAGGTGAGGCGAGCGAGAGAGAGGCGGACAAAAAGCAGTTTGCGAGAGCAGCTGCCAGGTGCCTGCAGCCCCCTCTAACACCTGGCAGAGGGTGTTTGTTTTCAAGGCTGGCGCTGCCCTGAAAGGCCAAAATCAATTATTCCAATGGATGTTTACAAGCAAAGAAAGACCATACTTGATGGATGTTGCCAAAAAAAGAGCCATGCAGAAAATGTGCATTTACTAAAAATGCAAAACCAGCGTGGAAAAAATGCACTTAGCCGAATTTTACCAGCCATCAGATGTTACTAAAGAGCTTTTGTGCTCTGAAAGTTATCAGTGATGAAAAAGTACATTTACTGAAGTACTGTTTCAGGTACTTGTACATTACTTGTGTTTGACCAGTTATATTCATATTTCATTGCATTTCTGGAAAAAATCTTGATCTTTTTAATCCACCATGTGTAACAGCTATATTTACCAGTCACTTTGATTTCATAACATATCACCTTATGAAATATGATGCATTATTGGAGATGAAAGGCCTCACACACTCAGGTAAGAGTTGTGCAAGGCTGTCTGGGACTGTGTGGGCTGTGAGGTCTAACAGAGAAAATAGAGTTGTAACCTGTCCCTGAACAAAACTAATAGAAACACATATATTTTCATCAAATAAAATAAGTTATATTCACTGAGACCTTGGAGGCTCCATGATTTAACACTTTCTGCATAATGAGTTCTTTTACTTGTTATGCTTCTGTACTTTTAGACCCTGATCACACAGAAAGTGTTTTGCAGGTTGCAAAATGCAATGTGCGCCACACTGCCTTTTTTAAAATTGAATGCCACTGGTGGAAAAAAAACACTTTTTAATTGTTGCCAGGCAGCCACGGTCTCACCTCTTAATTCTAACCATCCCATGTAATCAATCTACTGTTTATTTAGGATGACTCGGGCATTTTGACAACCTGCTGTCTATTGTCGGGCCGTATAGCTCTGGGTATCCAACAACCGCTACCACCAGTTTCTCCTCTATTGTTTGCCAACTGTAAACTTGTTGTCGTGACCACCACAGAAGGTCCGCCTCTCAGATCATCTGATAGGATAACGGGAAAAAAGATGACACTAAAATAGATGACGGAGTTCAGAGAGCTCCGGCAAAAACACCGGGCGCTTGGAGCACAGAAACGTGATTTGTGTGGGATCCTCAGAATTGCATCCCTGCTTTTTGCAGATGATGTGGTTCTGTTGGTGTCATCACACCATGACCTCCAGCATGCACTAAGGTCGTTTGCAGCCGAGTGTGAAGTGCTCGGGATGAAGTCAGCACCTCCAAATCTGAGGTAATGGTTCTCTGCTGGAAAACCAGAGTTCCTGCCCCAAGCAAGGGAGTTCAAGTATCTCATGGTCTTGTTCACAAGTGAGTGTAGAATGGATCATGAAATGGATCGGCAGTTTTGTGCAGCTTCTGCAGTGATGCAGGCACTGCGCCGGTCTGTCGTGGTGAAGAGGGAGCTGAGCTGGAAGGCGAAGCTTTCGATTTACTGGTCCATCTACGTCCCAACCCTCACCTATGGTCATGAGCTCTGGGTAGTGACAGAAAGAATGAGATCGCGGATACAAGCGGCTGAAATTTGTTTCCTCCGTGGGGTGGCTGGGCTCAGCCTTAGAGATAGGGTGAGGAGCTCGGACATCCAGAGGGAGCTCAGAGTAGAGCCGCTGCTCCTTCGTGTCAAAAGAGGTCAGTTGAGGTGGCTTGGGCATCTGATCAGGATCCTCCTGGGCGCCTCCAATGAGAGGTGTTACAGGCACATCCCTCTAGTAGGAGGCCCCGGGGCAGACCCAGAACATGCTGGAGGTCTTATATACCCCATCTGGCCTGGGAACGCCTTGGGGTCCTCCAGGAGGAGTTGGAAAGTGTTGCTGGGGAATGAGAGACACTAGTTTTCTGCACGTCCCCCAAGTTCATGTTTATGTACATCTGAGTACTCCTCTCCTGACTGGTAGCTACCCATAATGACCAGCCATCATTTTGTCAGAATCATCACCTCTTCATATCCTATAAATATTTTGTGTCTGTTTCTGTAGATGTACCAACATGGCAGGGATCTCTGTGAGAGCCTGTGGGGCGACGCCTTCATGACGGTGGAGGATGAGCCAGAGGACATGGGAGAGGCCGGAGAGGTTGGAGCGGAGGGTGACGGCGGTCGCCCCTGTGGCTGCCTGACCCTCAGTCCCTCAGACAAGGATGTGATTGCCGCCCTTAGGGCCCAGCAGGATGACCCGGAGGAGCTGGATACCACCAAGACCGGCCTGCCTCAGTACCGGGCTCCGTGCCAGACCAAGCTGCCCCTGCAGGCCAGGAGCGGCAGGAAGGGGAACTCTGTGCTGCGTAAACGCTCCATCATAGTCGACGACGTGGAGGGGAGCGGGAGCGGCTTGTAGAGAGGGGTGATAGGTGGCAACATATTTAGAGATTATTGTCTAGATCCTAATCTGTCTCTTGAAATGGAGTTGCTTCTTTAACTAACCTTACCACACAGACCTAAACTGTCATCATCATTACTGTCACATTCTACATATAATCTCTATGGTTTTCAATAACACTGTATCTGGTTTATAAAACCTCCAGTAAACACCTGGTCAGTTATTTACCTAGCTAAACAGCCAGGATTTAGAAAAAAGAAACTTTTAAGATTTAAAGGTAAAATCCTTAATTATGCAAGGGCTCTGACTTCAATAATAAATATACTGATAATATCACATAATGGCTGCACAAATGTTTTATTGCCAGCTAATAGGTCGAGAATTGTTTTTACAAAAGTCAGGTATTTCATTTGCAGATGCTATTTGCACCCAGGGTGTAAGTAGTCATATTGGCTGTATACACCCAGATGCAAAAAGTAAATGTTTCTGTTACCATCTGGGTGTAAAAAAAAAAAAGATAATGTGGCTAATCACACGCATGTGTAAAAAGTCAGGGTAGCTATTCACACCTGGGTGTAAACAGTCAATGTGACTAATCACACCTGGGGTTAAGTAGTCAATGTGACTATTCACACCTGGGTGTAAACAGTCAATGTGACTATTCAAACCTGGGGTTAAGTAGTCAATGTGTGACTATTCACACCTGGGGTTAAGTAGTCAGTGTGACTATTCGCACCTGGGGTTAAGTAGTCAATGTGACTATTCGCACCTGGGGTTAAGTAGTCAAAGTGGTTATTCACACCTGGGGTTAAGTAGTCAATGTGGCTAATCACACCTGGGGTTAAGTAGTCAGTGTGACTATTCACACCTGGGGTTAAGTAGTCAATGTGGCTAATCACACCTGGGGTTAAGTAGTCAATGTGACTAATCACACCTGGGGTTAAGTAGTCAATGTGACTATTCGCACCTGGGGTTAAGTAGTCAATGTGACTAATCACACCTGGGGTTAAGTAGTCAATGTGACTATTCACACCTGGGGTTAAGTAGTCAATGTGACTATTCACACCTGGGGTTAAGTAGTCAATGTGACTATTCACACCTGGGGTTAAGTAGTCAATGTGACTATTCACACCTGGGGTTAAGTAGTCAATGTGACTATTCACACCTGGGGTTAAGTAGTCAATGTGACTATTCACACCTGGGGTTAAGTAGTCAATGTGGCTAATCACACCTGGGGTTAAGTAGTCAATGTGACTATTCACACCTGGGGTTAAGTAGTCAATGTGGCTAATCACACCTGGGGTTAAGTAGTCAATGTGACTATTCACACCTGGGGTTAAGTAGTCAATGTGGCTAATCACACCTGGGGTTAAGTAGTCAATGTGACTATTCACACCTGGGGTTAAGTAGTCAATGTGGCTAATCACACCTGGGGTTAAGTAGTCAATGTGACTATTCACACCTGGGGTTAAGTAGTCAATGTGGCTAATCACACCTGGGGTTAAGTAGTCAATGTGACTATTCACACCTGGGGTTAAGTAGTCAATGTGGCTAATCACACCTGGGGTTAAGTAGTCAATGTGACTATTCACACCTGGGGTTAAGTAGTCAATGTGGCTAATCACACCTGGGGTTAAGTAGTCAATGTGACTATTCACACCTGGGGTTAAGTAGTCAATGTGGCTAATCACACCTGGGGTTAAGTAGTCAATGTGACTATTCACACCTGGGGTTAAGTAGTCAATGTGGCTATTCACACCTGGGGTTAAGTAGTCAATGTGACTATTCACACCTGGGGTTAAGTAGTCAATGTGGCTAATCACACCTGGGGTTAAGTAGTCAATGTGACTATTCACACCTGGGGTTAAGTAGTCAATGTGGCTAATCACACCTGGGGTTAAGTAGTCAATGTGACTATTCACACCTGGGGTTAAGTAGTCAATGTGGCTAATCACACCTGGGGTTAAGTAGTCAATGTGACTATTCACACCTGGGGTTAAGTAGTCAATGTGGCTAATCACACCTGGGGTTAAGTAGTCAATGTGACTATTCACACCTGGGGTTAAGTAGTCAATGTGGCTAATCACACCTGGGGTTAAGTAGTCAATGTGACTATTCACACCTGGGGTTAAGTAGTCAATGTGGCTAATCACACCTGGGGTTAAGTAGTCAATGTGACTATTCACACCTGGGGTTAAGTAGTCAATGTGACTATTCACACCTGGGGTTAAGTAGTCAATGTGACTATTCACACCTGGGTGTAAGTAGTCAGTGTGACTATTCACACCTGGGGTTAAGTAGTCAAAGTGGCTATTCACATCTGGGGTTAAGTAGTCAAAGTGGCTATTCACACCCAGGTGAAAGTAGTCAATGTCGCTATTCACACCCAGGTGAAAGTAGTCAATGTCGCTATTCACACCCAGGTGAAAGTAGTCAATGTGGCTATTCACACCCAGGTGAAAGTAGTCAATGTCGCTATTCACACCCAGGTGAAAGTAGTCAATGTGGCTATTCACACCCAGGTGAAAGTAGTCAATGTCGCTATTCACACGCAGGTGAAAGCAGTCAATGTGACTATTCACACCTGGTTGCAAATAGTCAGTGTGGCTATTGACACCCAGGTGTAAGTAGTCAAAGTGGCTGTTCACACCTGAGTCTAAGTAGTCGAAGTGGCTGTTCACACCTGGGTGTAAGTAGTCAGTGTGGCTATTTAAAACCAGGTATAAATAGTCAATATGGCTATATACATCCCATATAAATAGTTTATGTTGCTATTCACACCTGGGTGTAATGTGGCTAGTTTCAACCAGGTGTGAATAGGCAATGTGGCTTTTCACACCTGGGTGTAAACAGTGAATTTGGCCATTTACACCCAGTTGTATAGGGCATCATGCAAAGGCAAGCACCCTGGTGTTCATAGCCAACAATGCCATTTGCACCTAGGGTGTAAATACCCGATGTGGCTGTTGACACCGGGGTGTATATTCCTGGACGTCCTAGCAATACCAAAATAGGACATTAAACCAAAAGGGTCTATTCAGCACAGTTCATGTACACAGTGTGTATTCGGCAGCTTTATAGATCCCTAAAACTGAAAAGAAGTAAAAACAAATAATAAACCAACACTGACACACAGGACACAAACCTCAGTCTCCTGTGTAAAAGTCCTGTGCTCATCCCATTCACCCATCACACCCTACACCTTCCATGGACTGCGTTGCTCTTTATACTACGTCACCTGACTGTCTGGCAGAACATTTGTGAGTTTTATCTTGTAAATTTACCACTGTAATCTCAGAGAGTATCAGAGATTGGCTTGTACCAGCCCTAACCATGACCCCTTTGCCCTGATCCTAATAGCCTCTGACCTTGACACATCAACGTGGCGATGCGTGTAAGGGATGGGTTTAAATAGCTGAGTAGCTGCAGTGTGACTACTCTCAACAGGGTGCAAATAGACACTCTGTTTTTTATTTGCTTTGTATGGCTCAGTAAAACACATCACTGACACTACGACATGAGGTGTGTGAAGTCTCACACATGGCAAACGTAACGTTCTGCAGTTTAAGCGCTTGTGCATGAATCAAACATGTAGTATTGCAAACACGACATCCCTGCACCAGTACTTCACCACCCTGCTTCTCTTCTCAGTCGTCTAGCTGACTCTAATCTGTGCATTAGTCAATTGTTAAATGCAGATCTTACTGTTTGTGAAGCCGTATCGTGCAGTCTACATGTCATAAGGGATAGCGGAGAGAGCAATGATTATAATGAATGTAGCTTTCTAACAGATTACAGGACTGAACATTAAGGGATGTGGTATGATAATGACAATGAAGAAGTAAATACCTGAGGGAAGGTTTAATATTCAGAAACAAATCTGCCTACCAGAGTAAATCCGCAGAGGCAGCGTTCGTACCAGCAGAGGCTGTTCTGGTAGTTTGATCACGTATATTACCAATGTACTGTGGATGTGTCTTTTATAATTACGTTGTGTATTTCTAGAGCGAGGCACTGTTAGATGTAAATGTTTTGTAAAAAGGGGAAACTGGTTTGTTCAATTCATGGTAAGCTTGCAGAGAGATGTGTTTCTGTGCTTTACATTCTCAATAAAGACAATATTTGTAAATGTCAACTTGAACCTGTCGTAGTTCTTTTGGTTGAACTTTGCTGTCAAACCCCTTTTTAATCTGTAAGACCCTAAAACAGTTTGTATATCCTCGTCATAGAGAGCATAGTGTCATACAGCCACCAGTCATGTTCCAAATGCACTCATTTAAATGGATTATTGTTATTACTTTACTTTTTAATATTGTTTTAGGGGCTTTTATTGCTTTAATATTGTGCAGCTGAAGAGTGACAGGAAGTAGACACGCTAACTAACTACAGGCTACAATGAGGCAAAAAACAGAGTTCAAATGATGTTTTTCCAAACAACTTTTTATGTTGGGGCTTCAGGACACTTGGATCACTACAGACGGGCAGTATGGAGATATTTTGTGGTTTCAATTATGTGTTTTTGGACGTTTTAATCTGGGGTGCCGTCAGCCTCCATTAGGTGGAGTTGTGTTGCTACCTCCTCTCCCCTTGGATCTCCGCAAGTGATGTGAGGACTCTAAAACTTCACCTGAGCCCCCCTCGCCCCCCTTACAGCCACCACTGCCTGGTTGGGAATCACTGGTGTAACAGGAAAGTCTTGAGACTCAAGCAAAGTTTTGCAAAGCATAAGATTCCTGCATGTTTATTTATCTGAGAAGGTGGATTTTACAAAGCAGTATCCTTGTTTAGAAATGCTACTGTAATCCTTTCTTCAAATACCACAACCCCCACTGAGCAGAGCTACATACAGAGTTCCTCTACACCGTACATCAGAAACCTCAAAGCTCTGCAAATAGAAACAACACCCTGCAGATACCGAGCTGCCTCTGTTGTTTCTCTACATGCTGGACCACTGGCAGTTGCACTGAAGTTGACCTCTCTTGTACATTGCCAACTGTATTTCCAAATGTCCATTCAGTGTGAACTGAGAACAGCATTGTTTTAGCCTAAAAACAAAGTGTTTCGACAGTCTTCTTGTTCAAAACTAAATCAAACCCATCAACCCTACAGATCAGGAGGCTACTGCATGTTTGCATGCTGAGAAACATTTGACTGCAGTGTTGGTGTCTAAACCATGACCTCTACCTCTGATTATGGATGAAGACATTATCCAGTTCCATATGTCAAACCACTCACCAGATCACTGCAAACCACACGTACCTTACATGTGTACATATTTATGTGGTGGATATGTACTGTACATTTCTTTAAGTTTCAACAAAGCTGCGGTTAACGTGTGACTAGGTTTAGGCACAAAAAAACCCAACTACTTTTCATGGCAATATCCTGGCAGAAAATGCATCATTGTCTGTAAGAAACAAGCGTTTCTCAGGGCACTATCCCACCTTAAAAAGCAGCAATGTTTGTAAAAACAACTGCTTTTCTTGGCACTATCCCGCCTTGAAAGGCAGCGATGTCTCGGTAAAAACAACTCTTTTTCGTGGCATTCTCCTGGCAGAAAATGTAGCAATGGCACGGTAAAAACAACCACTTTTTGTAGCACTGTCCTGCCTTGAAATGCAGCGATATCTCAGTAAGGAACAACCACTTTTGTGCCTCTATCTCAGCAGAAAATGCAGCAATGGGGCAGTAAAAAAACAACTGTTTTTTGTGGCACTATCACGGCAGCAAACATAGTGATCTCTTGGGTTTTTGGTGGCACCATCTCAGCAGGAACACAGTGGAGGCTCAGTAAAAGCAACCACTTTTCGTGGCACTTTGCTGGCAGAAAACACAGTGATACCTCTGTAAAAACAACTGTTTTTCATGGCACTGTCTTACCTTGAAATGCAGTGGTATCTCGGTAAAAACAACCTTATGCGTAGCACTATCCTGGAATAAAATGCAGCGATGGCTCGGTAAAAACAACCATTTTTGGTGGCACTATTCTGGCTTGAAATGCAGCAGTGTCTTATTAGTAAAAAACACGTTTTGTTGCACTATCCT